CTGAGGTTCCACAGGCCCCGCCCCGGGGGAGGGCCGGAGTCCGGGCCGCGCCCACGGGGACGGCGGGCCACGCCCCTCCGGCCAATCCGCACCCGCTCGGCGGGAACGCCCCCTAGGCGACGGCTCCGCCCTCGACGGGCCCCGCCCACGCCAGGCCTGCTCAGGGCCTCACTGGCTGGGCCCCTGCGGGAGCCAGGTCAGGCCCACAGGTCCAGGCGTCCTCAGCTGAAGCGGGAGCTGGCCAGGCCTGCCAGAACAAGCTCTCTTCTGGCTTCCTCTCCTGTCTGGGAGGAAAAGGATTTCCTAGAAACCTGCCCCCTGCCTGGGCGCCCTTCCCTCATTCTCAAGCCTCCTAAACTGGGGTGAAGGGGAGCCTGCAGGTGGCCATGTAGTTAAGGCTCGGGAACCCCACGTGGTAGGCCACCGTAGGAGTCCCAGATCGGGCAGCCTGCTTTCTCCCTTTCCCTTTGTCTCTCTCTGTCTGTCTCTCTCTCACTCTGTCCCTCTCTGGTCAAGTTACAACAAATGACGTTTAAAAATAAAATGATTCTTTAAAACAAAAAAGAAAGAGAATGGAAGGCAGGCAAAGGAGAGGACCGCGGGGAGGGGCTGGTGGAACCAGGCCACATTTCTGCCAGGCCTGCAGGGCTGTGAAAGATTCCTGAAAGGTGGGCCCAGGTCTGGATTTGTCACAGGCCTGCAGAAAGGAGCGATTTCAATGAAGACAGTTTAGTTCTCTTTGAAACACGGAAGGTTCCGGAGCTTCCTGCCACAAAGTAACCCACAAGCTGACTGCAGAAGCAGCCCTGCAGGGCCATGGGGCTGGACCAGGGAGAGGCCAGGTTAGAAAGCCGAGGCCAGGGGAGACGAGGACCGCGGTCCGGCACACACTTCCCGAGAACGTCCTGGTTCAGGCCCGGAGCCTCGCCGAGTGCTCTGGCTGTGCAGGCACCGGCCCACACCCTGGGCCGGCAGAGGCTGGCTGAAGCCCAGGGTGGATCGCGGTGCCTGAACCCTGCTAGGGGTGCGTGTGCCCACTCTCGCTACTTCTCTCGGGAGACACAGAGCAAGGAAAAAAGGAAGCTACAGGCCATGACTGCAGGGACAGGGCCCGTCACAGAGAGGAGCAGGCCAAGGACAAGCCTGGTGGACTCTCCCAGCTCACCAGCCGGGGCAGCAGTGGCCAGCGGGAGCCGAGGGCTGGCGGCGTCCCTCTGAGGCCAGACACTGCGGGGTGGGGAGTGATGCCCGCCCCCACCCCCACCCAGCACCCTGCCTTGGACTGTCTCACCTAGGCCGCACGCCCACAGTGGCCCTCGTACTTTTCCATCCGTGCCCCTGCAGTACGGGGGTGCTGTCCACTGCCTCCCACGGTCACTGGGCTGCTGCCTTCCGGGGCAGCTCAGAGAGTCTTGCTGACGTGTGCCCCGGGATGCATGCCTCCCTGCGTGCACACCCGCCCACGGTGATCAGACCTGCACCAGCTCTGCGCCTCCTTGGGGGATGGCACGGTGTTTGCCACGCCTGCCTGCCTCTGGGCACGAGTGGGGTTCGTGGCTCACAGTGCAGACTGGGTTTGCTCCGGGACTCTGACCGTGAGAAGTCACGTCAGCTCGGAACCCCATGTTCGGCTCTGTGACATGGAGATGGTACCCATGTCCCAGGGCTGACGGAGGTGGTGAGAACACGCACACGCACTCCCTGAGCACGCGGCAGGTGCCAACGAAAGTGTGGCCGTGGTGACAGGCCAGGGAGGTGAATTTCCCAATTTCCCATTGGCCCTGGTGAAGTGACGAGGAGACAGCAGGGGCTGGGCCTCCTGGAAAACCACACCCGCGCTGGGGCTCAGGAGTGGGCTGTCCTTTCCTGCTGCGGAGGGACAGGCGTGTGCGGACAGTTTCCTGACTCATTTTTCTCTCCAGGACGCCCAAGGCCACAGGTGCTGTCACCCTCTCTTTCCAGATGACAGACTGAGGCTCAGAGCCTGCTCCGGCCCCGTGGCTGGGGAGCCTTGGAGCTGGCGTTCTGAACAGGCAGGCTGGCAGCAGTGCCCAGCCTCGGCGGCCTCCCACGGCCTCCCCACCTGCCCCAGTCCCCAGGGCAAGGCCGCCTACGTGACCACTGGTCTCTCGGCCCTGTTCCGGGTAGGGAGCCGGCTCTAACTGGAAGTTGTTTGTGCCACGATGCGGGAGCCAAGCTATTCTGGGAAGCCCAAACAGTCGTGTCTTTTCATCGGAGTTCATCAGGGAGTTGGCCTGGACTTGAGGGCCCGGGCAGTCCCACCTCCCCTCACAATGGCCACTGTTCGAGAGCGTCATTTCTAAAACACCACTCCGGCCCTTGTTCTCGCCTTCCTGAGTAGCTATGTCCCCGTGCACTTGCAGAGGAAGCTTTTTAAAAAGAAATAGGGAAAACACGAACTGCCCCGTAAGGTGATCAAGCGGAGTGGGTGCACGGAAGCCAGGAGGTGCGAGGGCTGACAGATGACATAATCGAAGCACCTCTCTTCCGTACGGAGGACACCGTCTGGGGACCCAGAAGCGCTCTGTGAGCACCCACGTCTGTGATCACATGGGCAGCACCTCCAGCGGTGTCCTGCACAGCCGTGCCGAGACACCTGGGAGACAAAGGCTGGGTGTCCGCGGGAGACATGTCCCCGAAGGTCTCGCTACTCATGACGACATCTGGACGTCTCAATCGCAACCACGAGGGTGTCCCCACTGCCCTCCTACTGAACACGCTCACAGGCACCGTCTCCCACGGGGACAGCTGACGTGAGCACGGCGTACAGACAGACGAAGGGCGGAGAACCCTCGAGTGCCACTCCTCGGTGTTAATAAATGTCTGTAGCGAAAGACAGCAGAGCCCATACAGGATAGAGGGAAGCTCAGGGCTCAGCCTTGGGGGGCGGGCCTCGTGTCTCCACACCCTGCTAGCTGAGACCCCTGCCCTGCCAGACGCCCCCCACTAGGGACCGGGCAGGCCTTCCAGTCCCCTCATTGAGAACGTCTGGGCCTTTGACTGACAGCCCACACCTGGGATACCCGCTGTGCCCACCCGACCTCCCGGGAGCCGTGCCGCTTACCAAAGCACCCGCGTGTGGGACAGTGCTGGAAGGCGCCCCGGCCCTCCTCCCGAGGCTCTGACCGCACTGTTGACCTGGACCGAGGATCGAGAGGGGACACCCGGGAATGGAGGAGGCGGTGCGCGGTGCCCTGACCCGTCACACACACTGCCCCTCAGCCTCTCCGGTGGGGTCCCCCAATCAGCACTGGCCTTCAAAGTCTCGTTTCTAAGTTTTGTAAGCCAATTTTATTCCCCCCGACACGAACCAGTCGGAAACTCTACAACAGCAAGGGACGCCAAAACCACAGTTCCCGGGCTCCTGCCAGCAGCGGGGTGGCCAGCAGGGCCATCGTCCCGGACAGGGCTGCCCCTCGGTTACAGCGGTCCTTCTGACAGCAGAGGTAGGTGAGCTTATCCTCCCCTAAGGCCTTGGAAATATAGTCGTAGGTGCAGTCGTCAAACCTCCAGCAGTGGTAGTACGTGAGCAGCTCTGCGGGGAGACAGACACTGTCAGACCACAGGACCGGCCCGGGCCTACCTTCCAACCTACATGTCCACGTCCCGAACTCATCTTCGGCAATGACGGGTCATAAAGGGGAGAAAGAGGCAAATGGTGACACCCCTCCCAACAGACCGCCCCCTTGGAAAGGGTTTCCGGGCCGGCAGGGCCTGGGGAGGCGGGCGGCCAGGGTCCCCTGTGCTGTGGGTGGGGAGGAAAGTGGTACTCTCTCCCGGAATTCCAGTCCCCTCAACCCTCCTCCACGGTAGGTTCCCTAGGAAGTTGCTGATAAGGGAGGCTAAGAGGCCTGCAAGGGAGCAGCCCCTGGACAGACGGCTGGTAACTAAGAAAATAAAATAATAAAGAAAGAAAGAAAATGAAGATGTTATGGTAGAATCCCATACATAAGAAAGGACACTACTGTTGACATTGAAAAACTTAAGTTAAAAGAAATACAGGGGGACCAGCAGTTGGCATAATGGCTATGTCACTGGATTCCCATGTAGTCAACCACAGTTTGAGTCCCAGACCTGGTGGCTTAAACTCAGGCCAGGCGCGTGTGCGTGCGTGCCCAAGATCGCAAGAGGAGAATGGAGGAGAACGGAATGCTGCATGGCCATACCCCCAGGGGGGATTTCTAGCTTTTTGTCTCTCTGTCCCTGTCTCTGTCTTTCCGGTGAGTGCACACGCCCTATAGCAAAAACTTCTCCAAAAGAAAAAGAAATATAGGAGTGGGGTTGGCAGGTGGAGTGGTGGTTAAGGGCACTGAGACTTCCACATAGCTGACTACTGTTCGAGTCCTGGACCTGGAGGCTTGCTTTCTCACTCCCCCCACCCCTCTCTCTCTCTCTGTCCCTCTCTGGTCAAATTAAAGAAATACAGAGAGAAGACTCAGTCCTCCATGGGAGCTGAGAGCTAGTGCTTTTAGGGAGAAGAGCAATGAAGATGTTCTGCTGAGAAGTCACCTTGGCAGGGCCCCCTCTGTCCTTCTGTCTCTGTCTTTCACTTTAAAAAAAAATTTTAGGGAGAAGTATTTTCTTGGCTCTGAAACCCTCCTTTATTTTGCTAATAATCCCCTCCTGGTTCCTTCCTGCCATTTAGGAGAGACAAAAAGGGCAGGCCTTCAGAACAAGACTGAGTCCTCCACGGACCGAGACCGACACCTTTAGTGCAGTGCTCTTGTGTGCCACAGTTTTCATGTTTTGTTTTTAAAAATAATTTTTAAAATGTTTTCTTCTGTTTCTCTCTCTTGCTCTGTTTTGGTATCCTTTTTCTTTTACCTCATCACTTTGCCACTCAGCTCCATCCACTGAGTGTCTAGACAGTGCTCAAGGAAACGTAGCCAAGCATCAGATACTATTCGGGTCAACATACCCCTCAACTCCCACAGGACCCGCAGCACGAAGGGAGAAAAATGAAATGCCAAAGAGTTTTCAGTTCACCACCTCCTATGGGCCTGATCGCTCAGACCGAACTTCTAGAAATTAGGAAGAAACGAGTAACCCATCGGATGACGGGAAATCACCTCAGGGGCACGGGAAATGTGAGAGGCCAGGAGAAAGCCTCTCCCCAGGGAAGAATATCTCCTCTGCGTGCACAGACAGCACGATGGAACTCACAGAAATATCCAATAAAGAACCTTAGAGTATTCATAGTGACAAGCTAACAGAGATGCAAGAGAAGAGAGATGATGAACACCAGAAGAAAAGAGCCGATGAGATCCAGGAGTTGAGGAAGTTCTTGTGAGAGCTGAAAGAGGAAATACACACCATAAAAAAAGAATCAAATAAAACTGATGGAGATGAAATCTGTAATACAGGAAGTCAAAACCTCCTTTGAAAGTATTAAAAGCAGAGTAGGTCATACAGAAACTCGAATCTCAGATAGAGAAGACAGAATCGCTTGACTAGTAAAATCCGCCACAAAGACTGAGAAAATTGCCCAAAAACAATGAGAATAATATACAAGAAATACTAGATACCAGTAAACGTCCAAACATCTGGATCATCGGTATCCCAGAAGGTGAAGAGACTAATCAGGGCATTGGTAATCTAGTCCATGAAACCCTGCAAGAAAACTTTCCAAACCTGGAGAGGCATTCAAACATCTAGACCCAAGAAAGACAAAGGACCCCTCATAGGATCAACCCAAGAAGATCTTCTGCAAGACACATCATAGCCAGAATGACCAAAACCACAGACAGGGACAAGATACCCATTTCCCTGCAAAGGATATCCCATCAGGCTGACAGCAGACCTCTCATCGGAAACAATGAGAGCGAGGAAAGAATGGGAAAATAGATTCCAAGTATTGACTGAAAAACAGTTTCAACAGAGAATACTATACCCTGCAAGATTATCCTTATATGGGAAGAGAAGACAAGAACATGATCAGATAAACAAACCTGAAAGAATTTACCAGCACCAGACCAGCTCCCCAAGAAGTTCTGAAGGGAGCGCTATCCCAGAAAAACTAAAGTCAGACACACAGAAATAAGAGTTCTAAAACAACGAAGAAAATGGTCAGCTTAATGGTCGGGACAAGTCCAGAGTTGAACGCTATCTTCCAGAACTTACATGGAAAGATCGGATCACAAAGAAGATAAAGTACCTGAGTTTGAACTGGTGAGATAGAATTTTATGACTTTTGACTAAAACATTATTGATCATCTTCTATGCTTTGTTTGCCAGAACTAAGGAGCTTTGTCTTCTCTTGAGTTGTAGACAGGTCTAGGTACCTACTATTCAAACAGAATCCTAACCTGTTTCCTGACTTTAAGTCTTAAGCAAAGCTCTCTTAACAATCTTTGACTTTGATTTATTAAAGCTAAGACTGGCTTTCTTGAAATTAAAAAATATATTTAAAAAAATACCTATTTAATGACCACAGTAAGCTAGATAGCCTCAGCTAGATGCTACTTTATAGTATATTCATTCTACCCACAGAGTTTCATGCCTAAAGTCAACTTGTGTTCACAGATATGCATATATCAGCTGAACTTGCTATCGAAATAATTGAAGTATTTTGTGAATCAATGAAATGTGGGAAAGAATAAAAAAGAAATGGAAAACAACTGCAGATACCAGACAAAGTGTGGGAGGAGGATGGGAAATGGAAGAGGGTGAGCAATAGGGCGGGAATTGTTTGCATATGTATGTATACATACACACAGACACAAGCAAGAAACAAGAAATGGAAATTATTGGTTGATGATGACATGTATGAGAAAGCCACTTTACAGTGTATTCTGGATGGGAAATAGCATTTTATATGCTGTGGTGATGTTCAGTGAGAGAATGTAAAATAAATTTTTGAAAAAAGCATAACTGAGCCATTTTTAAGTGCATAGTTTAGTGTTAAGCACATTCACATCATTGTACAATCAATCTCCAGGACTTTTTTTTTTTTGGAGAGGTTTTTCATTAGAGGGCGCATGCGCTCACCAGACAGAGAGAGAGAGACATAGAGACAGAAAGCGAGAAATCACCACCCAGGGAGAATGGTCACACCGCGATCCCTGCTCCGCCATTCTCCTCTCGGGATCTTGGGCAGGTATGCACACGCGCCCGGCATGAGTTTTAAGCCACCGGGTCCAGGACGCGAACCGCGGTCGACTACATGGGAGTCCAGCGACATAGCCATTATGCTAACTGCTGGTTCCCTCTCCAGGACTTTTTCATCCAGTGAAACTAAAACTCTGTACCCGCTAAACAACGATTTTTCCAACCCCCTCCAGTCAGTGGCGACCAGCATTCTACACCATTGTACTTCCTGTCTCTATGAGTTTAAATAGATACCTCATTGAAATATGACTATACAAAAAAAAGAGAAAGAAAAATTAAATACAGGAAAGGTTCTTGTGAGAGCTGAAAGAGGAAATACACACCATAAAAAAAGAATCAAATAAAACTGATGGAGATGAAATCTGTAATACAGGAAGTCAAAACCTCCTTTGAAAGTATTAAAAGCAGAGTAGGTCATACAGAAACTCGAATCTCAGATAGAGAAGACAGAATCGCTTGACTAGTAAAATCCGCCACAAAGACTGAGAAAATTGCCCAAAAACAATGAGAATAATATACAAGAAATACTAGATACCCGTAAACGTCCAAACATCTGGATCATCGGTATCCCAGAAGGTGAAGAGACTAATCAGGGCATTGGTAATCTAGTCCATGAAACCCTGCAAGAAAACTTTCCAAACCTGGAGAGGCATTCAAACATCTAGACCCAAGAAAGACAAAGGACCCCTCATAGGATCAACCCAAGAAGATCTTCTGCAAGACACATCATAGCCAGAATGACCAAAACCACAGACAGGGACAAGATACCCAATTCCCTGCAAAGGATATCCCATCAGGCTGACAGCAGACCTCTCATCGGAAACAATGAGAGCGAGGAAAGAATGGGAAAATAGATTCCAAGTATTGACTGAAAAACAGTTTCAACAGAGAATACTATACCCTGCAAGATTATCCTTATATGGGAAGAGAAGACAAGAACATGATCAGATAAACAAACCTGAAAGAATTTACCAGCACCAGACCAGCTCCCCAAGAAGTTCTGAAGGGAGCGCTATCCCAGAAAAACTAAAGTCAGACACACAGAAATAAGAGTTCTAAAACAACGAAGAAAATGGTCAGCTTAATGGTCGGGACAAGTCCAGAGTTGAACGCTATCTTCCAGAACTTACATGGAAAGATCGGATCACAAAGAAGATAAAGTACCTGAGTTTGAACTGGTGAGATAGAATTTTATGACTTTTGACTAAAACATTATTGATCATCTTCTATGCTTTGTTTGCCAGAACTAAGGAGCTTTGTCTTCTCTTGAGTTGTAGACAGGTCTAGGTACCTACTATTCAAACAGAATCCTAACCTGTTTCCTGACTTTAAGTCTTAAGCAAAGCTCTCTTAACAATCTTTGACTTTGATTTATTAAAGCTAAGACTGGCTTTCTTGAAATTAAAAAATATATTTAAAAAAATACCTATTTAATGACCACAGTAAGCTAGATAGCCTCAGCTAGATGCTACTTTATAGTATATTCATTCTACCCACAGAGTTTCATGCCTAAAGTCAACTTGTGTTCACAGATATGCATATATCAGCTGAACTTGCTATCGAAATAATTGAAGTATTTTGTGAATCAATGAAATGTGGGAAAGAATAAAAAAGAAATGGAAAACAACTGCAGATACCAGACAAAGTGTGGGAGGAGGATGGGAAATGGAAGAGGGTGAGCAATAGGGCGGGAATTGTTTGCATATGTATGTATACATACACACAGACACAAGCAAGAAACAAGAAATGGAAATTATTGGTTGATGATGACATGTATGAGAAAGCCACTTTACAGTGTATTCTGGATGGGAAATAGCATTTTATATGCTGTGGTGATGTTCAGTGAGAGAATGTAAAATAAATTTTTGAAAAAAGCATAACTGAGCCATTTTTAAGTGCATAGTTTAGTGTTAAGCACATTCACATCATTGTACAATCAATCTCCAGGACTTTTTTTTTTTTGGAGAGGTTTTTCATTAGAGGGCGCATGCGCTCACCAGACAGAGAGAGAGAGACATAGAGACAGAAAGCGAGAAATCACCACCCAGGGAGAATGGTCACACCGCGATCCCTTCTCCTCCATTCTCCTCTCGGGATCTTGGGCAGGTATGCACACGCGCCCGGCATGAGTTTTAAGCCACCGGGTCCAGGACGCGAACCGCGGTCGACTACATGGGAGTCCAGCGACATAGCCATTATGCTAACTGCTGGTTCCCTCTCCAGGACTTTTTCATCCAGTGAAACTAAAACTCTGTACCCGCTAAACAACGATTTTTCCAACCCCCTCCAGTCAGTGGCGACCAGCATTCTACACCATTGTACTTCCTGTCTCTATGAGTTTAAATAGATACCTCATTGAAATATGACTATACAAAAAAAAGAGAAAGAAAAATTAAATACAGGAAAGAGACAAACGGGACCCCACCACAATGTACAGCTTTCTGGCTGAGCCGCGCGCTGCAGGGGTGAGGAAGCCATGCAAGGCTGGGAGCCCCACACCGAAGGCAGGTCAGGCCTCGGGGCACCCAGGTCACAGACCAGTGCCATGCAGGGACACCCGCACTGGAGGGCGTGGGAGCCTGGGGATGGGGACCGTCATGATGAGGCCCCACGGAGGGTGTCTCTCTCTCAGCCTGTCTCTCTTAGACGTCCACGCGCGCATTCTCCACCGTAAACACAAGGAAACCTTTGGGCTCCAGAGAACATTATCAAAAACTAAAAAGGCAACCCATCACAGAGAGAGCATTCATGCGACCATCTACAAGCCTGGCCCCCAGGACGATAACACGCTCTCACCACTCCACCGTCAAGACAAGTTCCCGGGGTCGAGACGAGCGAGCTGGAATAGATCGTTCTCCGAAGAACATGTTCAAGGGGCGGAAGAGCACGTGCAGAGACGCTCATGTCGCCAGGCACTAGGACACGCGGGTCACACCGCTAGGTCGGGAGGACCGGAACACGGCACATAGCACGTGTCAGCGAGAAGTGCGGAAAGTGGACCTCGGACACGGAGTGGACAGGGAAGCCCGAGGGGACCTAGGGAGCGTGGCGGCTCCTCAGAAAGAAAAATAGGCTCCCACAGAGCGAGCGCATCCTGGACCTGCCCGGGGAACTGAAGCCATGCTGGCTGAGCGCAGACACGGCCACAGCACCCCACAAGCACACCCCGCACGGGAGCCACCTGCAGGGCCCGTCAGCCGTGTGTACCATAGCACAGGGC